GAAGCTTGAGCGAGCTCAAGCCCACGCTCTCAGGAACTCACACGCCGGATCGGCGGATCATCAGTTCGTGGACGTCCCAAGCGACAGACTCCGTGTAAGAAACGTATCTTGATATTTCGGCGGGAGTTCCAATCGAGAACCGCATTCTGAAAGCGAACCCGCCTCCATCCTTGTGATTGTTGCGAGCTTTACAGACGAATGTGCGTGGCGCAAAGGCCAGGGCCCCGTTTTGAAAATGATTGGCAATCCATCCTCATAATCTTTGCGTGCTTTACAAGTGTGCGCGGCGTTTGGGCGGGATCTTCATTTCGAATTTGACCCCCCCCCTCATTGTGATTTTTGCAATTTGACAACAGATTTGCGCAGCGCTACGGAGAGAGCCCCATTATGTAAACGATCGTTCCATCCGTGCAACTGTTGGGAGTTCTGTTCAGCTTCAGGACTAATGAAAATGAGGGAGTCTCAACAAGATTCCTCCAGCCTGGCCTACGGACACGTCTGGTGGTGCGGCAGGGGGGGCTACGTAGAAGGAAGAGGGTTGGAACGGAGAGGTAGGGGTGAGGAGCCAGGAGGACCATCGGTCGGGACTAGAACGAGGATAAATCCGCTCCAGAGCGTTCCGGAAAGTTCTCGGGGCGTTCTGGAACGCACTGAGAAGGCGCGGCGCCCGATACATCCTCCAGAGCCGACAGACTCAGACATCCGACGTCTCGTTTTTTTCGAGACACGGGCCCCCGACCTCCCGACCACTTCCCCGGGGCCGGTTGTTCGGCCCGAGTCGTTTTTTGACAGTCCCGAGGCCCGGCGAGGCCCAGCGAGGCCCAGCGAGGGCAGTTGGAGGGAGAGGAGGAGGAGAGGGAGGAGGAGGAGGGAGGACGAAGAGGAAGAGGACGAGCTGAAGGAGGAGGAGGAGGAGGAGGAGGAGGAGGAGGAGGAGGAAGACTTCATCCCCCTCCAACTTATGGTGGTGGTGGTGGCAAACAGGCTCATCACCATCGTGTTCTTTGCCCCCGCGCGAGGGGGTCTATGGGCCTCCAGCCGCGCCCGAGGAGCTTCTGCTGACCCCGGCGCCGGCGCGCGCTGCAGTGAACCCCCCGACATCCGACGTCTCGACTTGTCCCCAAAGATCCAACGTATGGAAACCAAACAAATACATAGGTTCTCTAAATTTTTGGCCTCTGGGGGCCCTCGCCGTGCCCTGGGACCGTCAAAAAACGACTCAGGACTAAAAACCGGTCCTGGGGAATGGGTCGGGACTTCTGGGGACCCCGCATTGAAAACAACACAATGTCGGATCTCTGGGTTCGAGGCACGGGCCGCCCGACCTCCCCACCACTTCCCCGGGACCGGTTGTTCCCCCTGAGTCGTTTTGTTGGCGGTCCCGAGGCCCGGCGAGGGCCCCGAGAGGCCGAAAACGACGAAAAGCTTCCGCCTCGATTTCCTCGAGACGCCCGCTGTCTGGGCCTCGCGCGCGGCCGGCCCGTGCGCGCGGCCCCGGGCGGCGCGCCGTTCACGGCGGCCTGCTCGCGAGAGTCCCTGCGCGCGCGGCGGGGCGAGCGCCGGCCTCGGCCGAAGAGGCCGCACCGGCGCTGGCCGGGCCGAAAAGCCGCCCCGCTCCTCCTCCTCCTCTCCTCCTCCTCCTTCCTCCTCCTCCTCCTCCTCCTCCTCCTCTTCCTCCTCCTCTCTCCCTCTCCTCCTCCTCCTCCTCTCCTCCTCCTCCTCCTCCTCCTCCTCTCCCTCCTCCTCCTCCTCCTCCTCCTCGTTTTCCTCCTCCCTCCTCCTCGTTTTCCTCCGCCTCCTCCGTCTCCTCCTCCGCCTCCTCCTCCTCCTCCTCCTCCTCCTCCTCCTACTCCTCCGTGGCCTGGGTCAGCGGCGGCGGCGAGGGCGGCGCCGAGGAGGGCGGCGGTGACGCGTAAGAGCGACCCTTCGCCGGAATGGCCTTTGGTGCTGGGGGTCTCCCCAGCACTGGCTTGCGCGCTTGGATTTGACCCCCCCCCTTCGGCGGCCCCCTGTCGGCGGCGAGCCCGGGGAAGTGAGAAGGGGCGGGCCTTCTCAGAAGGCTCGGACGTCCCCCGGCCTTCTGAGAAGTTTTCTAGGCCTTCCCCGAAGACATAGAAAACTTCTCACAAGGCCAGAGCGCTTCTGGGAAGCCCCGCCGCCTTCTGAGAAGGCCTTCTCCTTCTCACTTCCCCCCTCGCTCGCCGCCGACCCTGGAGCCGCACACCAGAGGTCGCTCGTGCCTCGGGCCACTCCTACGTGCAATGTGGATTTGCTGGAGGGTGGCGGCGAGGAGGCCGGCGCCGGGCGAGGCGAGCGGCGAGGGGTGAGGCGACGACGAGGGAGGGCGACGGTGAGGACGAGGAGGAGGAGGAGGAGGAGGAGGAGACGGGATACTTCCGGACGGTTCCAAGACGAGGACAGATCATCCATTCCAGAGCGTTCCAGAACGCTCGCAGAGCGTTCGGGAACGCTCTGCGAGCGTTCCCGAACATCCTGAGCCCGATACATCCTCCAGAGCCGCAGGGTCGCAGAGATTCCTGATTGATCCTCACCTGAATTATCCTCGTCTTGGCTTCGTCTTAGACTTCTGAAGACGAGGATAAGGAGGACGAGGAGGAGGAAGAGGCGGAAGAAGAGGAGCAGGAGGAGGAAGAGGATGAGGAGGCGAGACGAGGAGGAGGAATAGGAGGACGAAGAGGAGGAGGAGGAGGAGGAGGAGGAGGAGGAATAGGAGGAGTAGGGAGAAGAGGAGGAGGAGGAGGAGGAGGCGAGATGAAGAGGAGGAAGAGGAGGAGGAGGAGGAACGGGGAGGAAGGGGCGAGGAGAGCAGGCGACGGAGCACGGAAGTCGGAAGGACCCCTCCCCCTTCAGCCTCGTCTGCTTGGATTTCCCCCCCCCTTCTCGACTGCCTCCCAGTCCTCCGTCCTCCTCCCACTCCTCCTCCTCCTCCTCTTCTCCTTCTCCTCCCCCTCCTCCTCCTCCTCCTCTCCTCCTCCTCCTCCTCCTCCTCCTCCCTCCTCCTCCTCTCCCCTCCTCCTCCTCTCTCCTCCTCCCCATCTCCTCCTCCTCCTCCTCCGCCTCCTCCTCGTCCTTCTCTTCCTCCTCCTCCCCCCTCCTCCTTCTCCTCCTCCTCCTCCTCCTCTTCCTCCTCCGGGGGCGGCCAAGCAGGGGGTGTTGACTAGGGTCATGGTCCTGCTCCTGGTAGCGTGTTGTTGGGAGTACGCCGTGTGTCCCGCGCGGTTGGCACACAGCGTGCATGTTGCATGTTCGATCTCTCCGTGGCGAGGCGATTGTTGCGGCAGTTCGGGCGAAACCTCGACTATGAATCCCAGGCCATCCCTCGTAACACTTTTGCGGGGGGTTCTGGACGGAGACTCGCCCGTTTGAGGCCGGGTACGCCACCTGCTCGTTGTGTCCCAGGTACGGGCTGCAGCCTGAGACGCCCGTGCACCGCTTCTGGCAGTGCACGGCCAACCATGCCCTGGACGATGCTGTCCAGGCCACAGAGTCTCTGGCCCCGATTGCTATCGCGGAGAGCTCCTCGCTTCCCTCCCTGCGGTGTCGAGGGCTGATTTCCCTTGACCAGATCGTGAACGGTCTACCCGCTCCTCTCTCGTCGGCCTGGGCCTTTGGGGCTCTCAAAGGGGCCCTTCCTCTGACGGGGGGGGTCTGGGGGGTCGATGGATGGGGAGGTAGTGAGACTAAGGATTGGATACTAAAGAGGTGTGGCTGGAATGCTGTTATGCGTTCATGTCAACGAAGCTGAAGAGGCTGGTGGTATGTTTGGTACGTTACCGCCGCCCTGTCAGAGCTCCCCGCGTTCTGAGCATTTCGCCCTGCCGCTGGTGCTCACAGTCACGGAAGGTAAGATTCTGGCGTGTTTCTGATTATCTCCTTTTTGCGCGGAGCTTTCGGAAAGCCCCCGAGCATGTTGTGAGGAGTATGAGTAGCATACTGGACCTTTGGGCTCGTGCGTGGGATCGTCTCGGGACGCGTCCGGGCCAGGTTGGTCTCCGCTGGACGAAATCCCCCCCTCCCAGGCACTAGTCGATGATGAACAAATCTCGAGAGTGGAGCTCATTTTGAACAATGCCTCTGGCCTGCGTGCTGCAGTTGGGAGTTCAGGAAATCAATGCTGTCCGTGATGCGGACGCTCTCTAGGAGTAGATGTTGTTGCGCCGCATTGCCATCCAGCGCGAAGTGTTTCTCACCTGCTCCCGCGAAGCCCCCTCCCCAAAAGGTTTCTCGGCTGCTCGTGAGAGGTCGGGCATCACCAGTGTGAAGGAAAGGGGGAGACGGCTGCTGGCCGCTGGTCATGACGCCACTCGTCTCAGCAATATGTTCAGATGCTCTCGGTGTGCCCGCTCCTTATCTCGGAAAGGGCCCTTGTTTCAGTTTTGGCAAAAGGTTTGTGTCCCGCTGGCAGAGTTCGGCCAGGTCTCAGGGGAGTGGACTCCCCAGGCGGAGATAACGCGCGCGGCGAGCCGCCCGCGCTGTCCGTGGCGGACGTCCAGGCGCGGCGCCCTCCCTCCGACCATCCTCTCTTCCCCGCCGTCCACGAGTCTCACGCCTTGGCGACCTGCCAGGGTGTGCTGTGTTGCCTCGTCTGTGGGTCTTCCGGCGTTGATCAGACCCGCAAGCTCGCCACGGATTGTGTTCCGCCCACTGCTAAAGGGAGGGAGGTTTTGTCCCGTTTGTCTTGTGGGCTCCCTCGCAAGTCAGGTATGAGTTTCCCCGTGCGGGGGTGAGTGTTTCCTGCGCCCTGGCATGCTCTTGGCCACCGCACTCAGCGCAATCGCGATCTCCTCCACCTCCTTCTCCTCCTCCTCCCCCTCCTCCTCCTCCTGCTCCTCCTGCTCCTCCTCCTCCTCCTCCTCCTCCTCCTCCTCCTCCTCCTCCTCCTCCTCCTCCTCCTCCTTCCCCCCCCGCCCCCTTCTCCTCGTGCCCGCCATTCCTCCCCCCCCTTCCTTTCCCCCCACTCCCTCCCCATCCCCCCCGGCAGCCCGAGCAAGAGGCCCCCCCCCAGCAAGGCGCGCGCGCCCGAGGCCGGCATGCGGGGACCGCGCAGCTGAGCATGTGCCCCCCGATGCCTCCCGGCGCGAGCAGAGGAGACGGGCGAACCCGCCTCCTCTCCCCCTCCTCCCTCCTCCCTCCTCCCCCTCCCCCTCCTCCTCCGCTCCTCCTCCTCCTCCTCCTCCTCTCCTTCTCCTCCTCCTCCTCCTCCTCCTCCTCCTCCTCCTCCTCCTCCTCCTCCCTCCTCCTCCTCCTCCTCCTCCTCCTCCTCCTCCTCCTCCTCCTCCTCTCCTCATCCTCCTCCTCCTTCCTCCTCCTCCTCCTCCTCCTCCTCCTCCTCCTCCTCCTCCCCTTCCTCCTCCTCCTCCTCCTCCTCCTCCCTCCTCCTCCTCCCCTCCTCCTCCTCCTCCGCCTCCCCCTCCTCCTCCTCCTCCTCCTCCTCCTCCCTCCCCCTCCTCTCCTCCTCCTCCTCCTCCTCCTCCTCCTCCTCCTCCCCCTCTCTCTTCTCCTCGTCCTCCTCTCCTCCTCCTCCTCCTCCTCCTCTTCCCTCCTCCTCCTCCTCTCCTCCTCTCTCCTCCTTCTCCTCCTCCTCCTCCCCTCCCCCTTCCCCCTCCTCTCCTCCTCCTCCCCCTCCTCCTCTCCTCTCGTCCTCCTCCTCCTCCTCCTCCTCCTCCTCCTCCTCCTCCTCTTCTCTCCTCCTCTCTCCTCCTCCTCCTCCTCCTCTCCTCCTCCTCCTCCTCCTCTCCTTTTCCTCCTCCTCCTCCTCCTCCTCCTCCTCCTCCTCCTCCTCTTCCTCCTCCTCTTCGTCTCCCTCGAGGCCCCGAACGGCGCGGCGGCCACGCCGTTTGAAAGTTCGGGGCTCCGCGGGCTGTTTGGGGACTCGGGTCCCAGATCTCCGCCTGGATCACCGCGGGGATGGCTGGGGTGGGCGGGGGTGCTCTCGAAGTGGATGCCAAGGTGGGCCGTATCTGGCCGAATTTGGCATACTAAGAATGGGTCATAAGCGCCGTGAGCGGCTCAGATTGGGAGGATTTGGATCACCGCGCTAAGTGGGCGGAGCCCCCTTATCCCGGATCCGCACCCTCAGACGCCATTTCGGGCGCTCGAATTCCTATCATATGCTAGGTTCGGCCAGGCACGGCCCACTGTTGCATCCATTTAGAGAACCCCATATCCGTTGGCCCCCTTCAGCAGTGATACAAGTCACCATCTGATTTTCAACCGGCGATTTATTTTTATCGATTTCGGCCTCTGGGCCGCGGGGGGCCGCCGTGGGACCCCTGGACCATCAAACGTGGGTCCAGGACGAAATACTACCCCGGGGGAACAGATCATTTTGGTTCTCTAGTGCCGCGGGTTGGAAGATACATCAGGGATCTCAGGACAGTGGGCTGTTTTGGAACATTGGTTGGTTGTTCTCCGAGGATGTCTCGGGCGCCGGGCCAGCCCGTGCAGGGATTGACCGTGCGGGGAAGTCTTGTGGAGGTCCCGAGGTCACCGCGCGGCCTGTCACGGCGCAGTCCTGGAGTCCCCATGTTTTTCACGCTCAGCCCCGGCAGTTGCTGCTTCGCGTCGGCATTTGGGATGCTTTCGCGCGGCCGCGAAATCTAGATCCAGGATGACAAACCAAGTTCCCCGGGAAGGGGTCCGGATCCATGGTGCCGCGGACTGGCAAATTACATCGTCGCATGTTTGTCAGGGAAACTAAGACTCGAGTAATTTGGAACTCGGGGTTGCCGACGTTTTGTGACGAGCGCGCCCTGGAGTTTGACGATCCATGTTTCGTTGGATGTTTGCAATGGGAGTTCGCCTCAAATTTCAGATTGGGTCTCGTCACCTTTTATGATGGCCCCGTCAGGCCAACCCGAGTCCCCCATACCCGAGTCGTACGTCTCCCCGAGTTTGGGACATGATTCATTAGGGGAACGGGTGCTGGAGGCTTTTGACTGTTTTCGGGTTCAGGCTCGGGATGAAAAGCAGGTCCCAGGGAGAAGCCCGGCGATCCACGATATGTTTACCTCAGGACTAGTTTCTTTCGTACTAAGGTCAGACGATACTTGCCATTTGGGGCTGCCGTTGAGGGGGTCGCCAGCCGAGGACCGAGGGTCGGGAAGGTTTTCTTGGGCGACTTTGAGTCCCCTGGCAGTCTGGCGGTGCACAGTCGAGGCTGATGAGTAGGTCGACCCCACCAAGTCAAGGGTACTCAGGTGTCCTGTGCTTCGCGACGCATGCCTCCTACATTCCTGTGGCAAGGTGGCCCTCGGAAGGGTCTCGTATCCTCTCGCGTGTCCTCTCCAACCAGCCCCGACTGTATAGGGGGGTCCAGAGGACTCCTCCTCGAAGCGGCAGCGGCTCCTTGGAGCGACCTCTCGATTTACGAATCAAAAAATAGTCCAGGGACGATTTGTTCCCATATCCTAAAATTGGGTTCTTGTGATTACTCGGACGCCGCCGACTCCAGAGAACCAGAGAGAACACACCTACTCATACACAGACTTTTTCATACTCAGACCTACTCATACTCATACCTTATCATGGTCTGACTTACTCAACACTCAACACTCAACTTACACAACTTTTGACTATTACGGCGCAGATCTCTGATGTTCATAGTTTCGGGCCATCCGGCCTGGGCATGCCATCCAGACATGCGGACGCATCCAGGACTTTCCCTCCTCCCGCTGTTCCTCTTTTCGTCCTCTTCCTTCTCCGTTCCAGCCTGTACGTGCATGGTGGAATCACCTTCCCATCAGTTGGGTATTCTCCGAGGAAAAAACAAAAACATGCAGGCCTATTCATACTCAGACTTACTCATGCTGGGACTCCTTCATACCCAGACTTACTCATACCCAGACTCGTTCCCAGACCTGCTCATACACAGACTTGTTCATACTCAGACCTACACATACTCAGACCTTCTCATAGTTTGAGATACTCAACACACGGACTGAGACCTACTCATATTCAGACCTAGTCATACTCAGACTCGCAAGGGGAGCCGCCAGGGGTGTTTTCACGGGCCCGTTCGCGGCCAGTTTGTGGGGATGTCTCAGGCGGTTTGCTCGTTTTCATGCCCAACATCCTTTGCTTTCAGATCAAATTGCGAGGATGTCTCAGGCGGGGCGCTGGTTTCAGCACCCCTAAGGGGTGCCGCCAGGGGTGTTTTCACGGGCCCGTTCGCGGCCAGTTTGTGGGGATGTCTCAGGCGGTTTGCTCGTTGTCATGCCCAATATCCTTGGCTTTCAGAGCAGAGTTTGAGGATGTCTCAGGCGGGGCGCTGGTTTCAGCACCCCTAAGGGGAGCCGCCAGGTGTGTTTTCACGGGCCCGTTCGCGGCCAGTTTGCGGGGATGTCTCAGGCGGTTTGCTCGTTGTCATGCCCAACATCCTTGGCTTTCAGAGCAGAGTTTGAGGATGTCTCAGGCGGGGCGCTGGTTCCAGCACCCCTGAAAGGAGCCGCCAGGGGTGTTTTCACGGGCCCGTTCGCGGCCAGTTTGTGGGGATGTCTCAGGCGGTTTGCTCGTTTTCATGCCCAACCTCGTTGGCTTTCGGAACAGATGGTGAGGATGTCTCAGGCGGGGCGCTGGTTTCAGCACCCCAAAGGGGAGCCGCCAGGGGTTTATTCACGGGCCCGTTCGCGGCCAGTTTGTGGGGATGTCTCAGGCGGTTTGCTCGTTGTCATGCCCAATATCCTTGGCTTTCAGAGCAGAGTTTGAGGATGTCTCAGGCGGGGCGCTGGTTCCAGCACCCCTAAGGGGAGCCGCCAGGAGTGTTTTCACGGGCCCGTTCGCGGCCAGTTTGTGGGGATGTCTCAGGCGGTTTGCTCGTTGTCATGCCCAACATCCTTGGCTTTCAGAGCAGATTTTGAGGATGTCTCAGGCGGGGCGCTGGTTTCAGCATCCCTAAGGAGAGCCCGGGGCCGAGGCTGAGGAGGGCACGGCCTGGCAGCTGAGGAGGGGGAATGAATGGGAGGCTCATGTTCAATCATACTCAAAGCTCACTCTGACTCATACTCACTCACTCGCATTGGAATTCACTCGTCTTCGTCGGCCCTGTCGCCCACGCGGACGCGCTATTATAGTCAAGCGCTCATGAACAAACGTTCGCTACGGCATGATATAAAACATGAGATGCACATATGGGGAGCTCCACGCAGTGAGTAATTAAATTTTGTTTTTGACTATTTTGCACTATGTTTTGGTTATTGCGAAGGCCTTGCGGCCTTTGCCGCCGACCCTGAAGATGAGGACGCTGACCACGACGAGGTAGAAGGAGGAGAAGTAGGACGAGCAGGGGGAGGAGCCGCGTGAGGAGGAGGAGGAGGGTGAGGAGGATTGGGCGGAGGAGGTGGAGGCAGAGGTTCAGGGGAGGGGGGGGGAATGGAGGTTGGTTGCTTGTGAGGGGGGGAGACTCGGGCGGTAGTGGTGCCCGCAGATGTTGACGGAGAATGGACGTGCTCTCGCGAGGGTCTCTTGGGACGTTTTTATTTTTCTCCCAAAATCCGCCTGTAGGAGGACAGGCCCGACCTAAGTCAAGAGGGCTCCTCTTCGAAGAGACAGCGGCTCCCTGGAGCGGTGGCCCCAGAACTCTCGACCCCACCCGTCCTCCTCCTCCTCCTCCTCCTCCTCCTCCTCCTCCTCCTCCTCCTCCTCCTCCTCCTCCCAGAACTCTCGACCCCTTCAGGGGCACCCGCCGCGCTTCCCAGACACCCGGCTGCTCCAGTTTTTCCCGGAGGGCTCGCAGAGGGCGCAGAGGTCGGGGGCGGAAAAGAGGGGGGTGATGACTAGGGGGGGGGTGGATATCATGGCGGGGGCCATGATATTTTCCCAGAGTTCATGGCGTCTCTTATTTCATTACATCCCTGGCCCCCCCGCTGGGCCGCGCACATGCCGCCGGTCATGATTTGCACCCCCCCCTCTTGGACATCCCCCTCTTGACCGCTCCCGAAGAGGGTCTCAGATTAAGAGGCCGGGGCCGCAGGACCGGAGGTCGTTGTGGCTTCTGGCAGGGAGCCTCGGTGGGAGCCCCTGAGCCAGAAGTCTGTCCCGAGAGACCTTTTTCTGAGCGTTTCTTGGTACGCGTGCCCGGATGCCCTCC